TACATAAAACAAAGGTAGTTGCAAACACATTTTCTGCACAGTAATCATTGTTTCGTTTTAATTTTACTTTTTCAAGGAAACATTTGTGTCTTTGTATTCATTAAAATAACTTGAACAGATTTTATGAACTTTATTTAATTAGTAATTACGTTTATATTTTTATATAATAATTATTTTCTCAATATACAACAATAGTGCGGTTTCGATCAGTGCGGTTTGATCATTTCAAAACAAACTAAATTATAATATAAATAAAGTCAACAAATTGTACAAAAAAATGGTTTTTATACACAAATTATTATCTCATTTTGAGTTATTTATTTATATTCAATTTCTTCGATTAGTATAGTTTCAAATAGTGCAAAATTATAAGGAAATTTTATTAAAAGAAAAACTTTTGTCATAACGTTTGACCAATATATGTTAAAATACAATTTAACTAGGAAATATTTTTCAAAATTGTAGAAAAACTTAAAATTTTATGATTTTTATTAATTTATAATTTATTTAAAAAATTAAAGAAAAAAGTGCAGTCAAAATATTTATCTGAAAGTTAATAATGAAATTGCAGGAATAGATTAATTTATTTACGTTTGCCCCACTAAATCGTTTGCACCAAATATATTTATGTTAACATTTGTTGTTGATCTAGAAGTCATCAGTATTTTTAGAACTTAAAGGCTGTTATTTCTATTTTTTTCGAAAATCTATGTGATACATTGAAATTGACCTTCGCATTCGCCAATTTAAATCCCATTTTATAAATATTGCTGAGCTAAATATAAGTACGTTATTTTTGTTGATTATTATTCTTGTTGAAAAGTGAAATTATCCTGTTTTTCTTTTACATTATTTTTATAATTTATAAATAATTGAAATTGGATTAAGTTTGTATTAACGTCTGGAACACAATCGTCATTTTTTTTGCTCTAATTTCTAATTAATTTAAATTGGATTAAGATTGAATTAATTGCTGGAAGACGATATTAGCTGACCTTTCACCATTCTAGTAACTAGTAATGCTGAAGCTTAATTCACCCAAGCTATGTAGTAAATTTCAGATGACCTTTGCGACGTGCATTACGTTTCAAAACCCTTAAGCTTTCAGCAAATTGCAGATTATATTAACGCCCCTTAGAATACTAGAAGCAATGATTATTACAGCAATACGTCGCAAAGTGCACTGTTTGAAACCGGACTAATCGAGATTGTTATAAACGCATAAAAATAAATTACACAAAAATAGGCTTGATTGTATCAAGGAGAAAAAATGAAAATTTATATATAAAAAATAATTTTGTATACTAATTTTTTAGAATTTATTTTTATTTTAACTAAAAATGTAGTTAATATAGAAATAAATAGTGAATCCAAGTTGATCGAATCCGCACTATATTATAACAAATATAATTTATTATATTTTCTTTTGATTCATAAATTAATTTCTTACTTGCATTGGAAATATACAAGAATGGTGTCATTACAAAAAAAAATGAGATAAAAAAATGATATATATTTTTTCACTTGTTAATAAGAAAGTAATGAGAAAAAACCCAATAATTTCTGACATTTTCTACTTTTTTTTCCTGTAACTAATGAACACATTTTGTCGACAATGTCGATAGGATAAATCTCCATACATTTTTTTTTTCGCACTTTGAACAAATTAATATTGACTTATATTATAACAAAATATAATCTAATTAAAATAATATATAAAATTATAATGTGTTTCTTCATCAAAATTCTTTGATAATCAAAGTAAGAAGAGAAATCAATTCAGTTTGATCATTTTTTTAATATAGAAAAACTTCCCTAATTGGTAATTATAGCTGTTAAGAGAGAAACAAATCTTAATTGTCCTCTGCATAGAAAGCTCCTCATTAAATTTCCAACAATTGATAACAGTATCCGACATATACAGATATTTCGGTTCAAATTGCCACGACTTTAACAAATTAGTTTTTATTGATATCCACGCTTATTATTTTTTACTAGAATTAACTTTTATGAAAATGTTTGCATAAAATACATTTTTATTTCTTTTTAGTTTCTAAAAGCAAGTCAGTAAGGAAGCATATATGAAAATGATAAAAATATATTTATTACACTTTATTAATGAAATATAATTATAATATAATTGTATTTCAGAAATAATTTAACTTTGATTGGATTAGTTTAATTAATAAGTAAATAAATAATTTATTTATTTACTTATCAAAACTCATTGATAATCAAATACATTTTCCAATGAGTATATAAATAATTAGCTTAATCCAATAATTAAACAAATGTAATTAAAACATAAAAGAATATCTTAATTAAGTCTTTGATGATGATGTAAAAAAATCGAAAAAGTTTTTAACACTTTTGTGAAGCAGATGCTAAATAAAAAAAACAACTAGGAGTGAAGAAAAAGTGTCACACTATTTTTAGTGCAGGTAGTTGGATTCGTGTTACAGCGTGAAACGAATGGAAAGGGAGAAGTGCATCTGAAAAATCGGTGACGCAATTTTATAAATAGTTGCGCTATGTAACATACGGCATTTGCATATGGAGTTATTATATATAAATTCCAAAGATGTTGAAAATACGAATAAAATTAAATATAACTTTTTTCAATTTGAAATACTGTAAAAATGGAGTAAATTTATTTGTTATAATGGAAATCGACTATATTGATTAAATTAAATAGATTCAAAATTGAGAATATTTAATTATTTATAAACTATAATAAGTATATTGGTTGTATATTTCAAAGATGTTAAAAAAATGATTAAAATTAATTATATCCTGTTAAGGTGAATTATTAAAACTAATTATTTTTAGTTTATACAGATTATAAAATTAGGATTGAATTAAAAAGTAAAAGTTAAAAATAATTTATTAGTTAAAGTTTATATTGATTTTACATAGATAATATATACAAAAAGTTAAAATTAAATATACCTTAAGATACTTTAATGTTGATAAGTTTTATTGTACAGCAATACCTCGTTTAGTGCGGGTTAAAGGTTCAACAAATCGACTATTTTTTTTGAAAATTTTTAAATCTTTTTATAATGAATCCTGTATACATTGAAACTTGCTTAACGAGCACCTCGCATAACGAGCATTTCTCTCGTTAAGCGAGGTTCCACTATACCTGAAAATTGAGTAAAAAATTGTATGTTTTAGAAGACTTAATGTTAATATTAATTATTTAAGTTTTATAAAGATTATACACTCGGGTTACAAATAAAATTAATTTTTGGAGATGTAAAATTCAGGTTTATTCATTTTCGATTGATTATATAAATGAAAGATGTTAACATTTGATTTAAATTGAAATTGATGTTTTGTTTTTTTTTATAAATAGAATCCATATAAAAAAGGGTTTAAATTATATAATTATAGCTTTAGTTGAAGTTTATAATGATTATATAATACCAAGTGAAGGGAAGCAAAATTAAATTTTCAAACATATTAAATTGAAAATAATGAATTATTTGATGTTTATATTAATTATACATTGAAAAAATAAGTTAAAAATCAAATAATTATTTTCACTTGAAACTCTTCATTATTTATTCTTAATATCTAAAGTAACTTTAAAGTATTTCAAGCTGAAAATAATATTTGTTAGTGAATATTGTAAGAATGTAATTTGATTAATGTTAATAATATTAGTTATCTTTTTACTCATTTTAGAAGTGAGGTGAAAGTACTATAATTAGAGTTTTATATTTTGTTATGATAATAAAGTAGATTGATAAATGTGAGTTACAGTTTTCTAAAAAGTTTTTTTTGTAAAGTTTGTAAATACCAAAAGACATTGAAACGAAAGCGCGTGGCCTTTGATGCGTAGCATTGAATGAGGCGACGTCCAGGAATAAATAAAATCCCATAACCGATGGAATCTCAAAAAACAGTGTAAATTAATTCATGAATAGTTCTAGAACAGGTTTAACTGAAAATGGTGATAGAACTCTGGCCTGGTGACAAAAGGTGAAGATATTGCCAAAAAACATATGAATTGGTCATTCGAGTGCGTGTGCGAATTCGCCCCATCATCGTTCCTGCGTCCACATTTTTCCCCATCTTTCCTTCCTCCTCTTTTTAATTTTGGATTCGCGTAAAAGCACCCACGGAGGTTGTTCGAGATCACACGGGCCAAGTGGAAAACTAGTTCATAGCCGCTTCAGACTACCGGCAGTTTAAAATAGCATTTAGAACAAACCGTCCGTCCATGTGCTAAAAGAGCACGCAGACCAAGAGACAGCTCAGACACGGTACAAACAAACTCACCTCCAGTGCGAAAAAAGTTTGTAGTGAAATAATGTTCAGTTTTTTTCCCCGGAATTGGAAGTTGATTAACGAATAAACAAACCGCAAGAAAGCCGAGCGGAGGGCGGAGATGTAAGTTGTTCAAATTAAGACACCTAAGCAGAGTGTGTGTGTGTGTGCATTCCCTTTACGAAGGGATTGGGTTACAGAGTTACTAAAAATACGGGGCCTCCTCTCAAGGTCCCCGCTATATTTAATTATCACACACACACATCATTCGGCTTTTAACTTCATTTCTTGAAGGCGCCTTTTCTTCAAGTTTACCTCAATAATAGTGCAAATGAAAAGACATTTCTATTTAAATTTCTTGATTCTTTTCTTTTTCATTGGTTGTTTTTTACGCTCGCTAAGTTCGTGTGGAGATAAATGATTTGGAAATCGCTGGAAACGCAGCAGGTTGGCAGCAATCCACATTTTCGCGCTATATAAACTGTGAGTGTCTCAAAAATAAACCCGTGGTTCTGAACTCTGGAGAATTCTTCGGGGCGTCTGGACGCCGGTGCCGTTTGGTACATGCGCGTCGCGACGCGAGGCCTTAAATTTAGAAAACCGGAGACGGGTTTAGGTCAGCTCGCGAAAAACCGTCCGTCCGGCGATCGCTAACATATTGTTATTTATTTATTATAATTTTTAATTTAGTTATTTAATCCATTTCCCAATATCGAAATTTGCAGCAAAATATGGAGCAGTTCGAGCAATTGCTGACCTGTGCCATCTGCCTGGACCGCTACAGGAATCCGAAGCTGTTACCATGCCAACACAGCTTCTGCATGGAACCCTGCATGGAGGGCCTCGTCGACTACGTGAGAAGACAGGTAACTAAACTTCACCGAAAAATCTTGATCATTGAATAAAGTGAAACGTTTTCACTGAACTGATGCAGTTTATTTCTGTAACACCGCGCTTGCCAAAATCTCGGATAGTATCGAAATACAATTCCGCTCTCCATAATTTATAAACATCATCTATTTTAATTCATACCCAAAAATAGCTTTCATCTAAAATATATGCATATAATAAATATATTAATTGATTTTGTTGTTTGTTAAGGTCAAATGTCCAGAATGCAGGGCCGAACACAGAATCCCTTACCAAGGTGTCCAAGGTTTTCCCACAAACGTGACTCTTCAACGTTTCCTCGAGTTACACATCGAGATTACCGGAGAATTACCGGATCCGACGAGCGGTCAAATAATGGAGAGATGCAATGTTTGCTCCGAGAAGGCTTATTGCAGCTCGTGTCAACATTGCGAAAAGAAGATCTGCGAGGAGTGCAAAGGAGCTCACATGGATATCTTGAGGAGAGAAATCGTTAGGATCAATAACCAAATTCGCAGAGGCATCCATCGTCTGCAAGATGCTCTCTCGATGGTAGAGAAGAACGCCCAAAACGTCCAAACCAATAGTTTATCAGTTTCCGAGGAAGTTGAAGAAATTTACAGAAGACTTACCAAAGCTGTAAAGGATCGTACCGAATATCTGAGAGGCGAATTGGATAGATACATGAGTTCAGAAGTTAGGACTTTGACTAATCTCAAAGATAACTTGGAGCTGGAAATATCCAATATATTGAGTAACTGCGATCTGGCTGATAAACATATTAACGAGAATGTGCCTTGGGATGATTGCGAACTGATGGATGCTAAGGAGATCTTTTTGAAGACTGTTGATTTCATAAGGAATTTCGAGTACGAAAATTCTGATTACAGTAGGAAAGTGAGATTGGTCTTGGCACACGATCCTAATCAATTGGTGCTGCATGTTGCTGGTTACGGTGATTTGAACATCGTGAATCCGAGCAATCCATTTGGTCAAGGTAATACCCTTCAAACTCCCAGTCCTGGTTTGATGCGCTCGAAGAGCGATCATCGCTTAGCTACGCAGTTTAGGCAGCAGGAGGAGAGGCCTGGGTATTATGGTGAGGGCGATGATAGCACTCCAACTAGGAAGTTTGGAGAAAGAGCTAACAGAACTGGAGATCGCTACGACAGGTACGGTAGGAGCGGTAATGATTACGGTGAAGATTATGATGACTCCTCCAGGCCTTCGAGGTCCAGCCGTTACCGTTCCAGGTACAATAGACATGGCGAAAACGACTCTGATACCGAACAAAGTAGCAGAGTTAGATTTAGCGAGCAACAGCATAAAGAAAGGGAACGCGTTTTGGATACGGAAGACGTAGCCAGAGGTCCTCTGAGTGGTATCACCAGATTGGCCGACTCTCCTAGAGTGATGAAGAAGCTGCAAGAATCCGAAAGCGGAAAAAAGAAAGAAAAGGAAATCCCGACCCCGGTTCCCGCTCCTCAACCTCCGAAAGTCGTACCGAAGAGGCCTCCGCCTCAGGCAAACCGTCAAACCAGCGAAGACGATGAAATTGCTAAAATCAAGAAGCAAAATAAGGGCGCTACCACCTCGACAGAAACAGAAACTCGTCATCCTTCTGTGAAACGCGACGAACCTGAAGACAGGCACGCGAGAAAAACTCCGGCGCCCGCCGAGGTGAGTCCACCAGAGTTTCCTCAGTAACACCTCCAAACAAAAAGAGTACCTGATTAGATTGTAAATTTAGAAATTACTATGTGTTGTTTGCTTCCTTTTTTATTTTATTTTCTCTCACTCATTCTATCAACAAAAAAAAAATCCCTCAACAACAACAACATCATCAAGTGACCATCCAATGTCATTATTACACTTAATACCGTCTATTATAAAATGTTAGACCTAGCAGTTAGAAGACTACACAATTATATTTATATATATACACTGGCGCATGAAAAACAAAACACCTAATCAAACAAACAAAAATAAAATAAATCTTCATGAACTTGAAGAGACTCTCACCCCTACCATCCCTGTGTTGTGTTGAAGCATGAAGATTACTGTTTTTGGAGAGATTAGCTAATCGAAAGTAAACTAGTGGAAATGCAAGGGATACAGAACTATTCAAACGCGAGTTCCTAATGATTGCTCTCATATATATTTTTGTTGTAAAAGGAACGCACTGTCTCATCTAACTACAGTAATCCCCGCAAACTCACCGACTAACAAGACCATAACATATTTTTGCATCGATTTTTGATTTTTTTACCGCTTCGCCCTTCTCATTCACACTTTCGTATTTTTTTTCTATCACTGTATTTTGCTATATCTGGAGTATCCCTTAATTGTTTCCACTTGTTTATTTTCTCTAGGCGACATCGAGCGCCGAAGAATCGGACGAATCGGCGAGTACGCCGCAACAGAGAAAAGCGGCATCAAAAACTGTTACTCCCGCGCGCAGAACGTCCGCGGAACCACCTAAAAAAGCGACGCGATCCACTAGCTCGGACTCAAGTAGTTCTACGGATTCCTCGAACTCTTCTAACGCCGTGCGGAATACCGGTGCGGCATACACCACTGAAGAAGTTAAACAGAAATACTTATCGCGCGGTAGCGTGGATCACACTGCTGATCAACCTTCCAGGACAAGGGTTTCGTCGACGAGTTCAAACAGCAGCAAGGATAAGCCCTTCCAGAGCAGATTCTTGAGCAACAAGACTACTCCGACTCCGCCGCCGGCAGTTACGAAGGAGGAAGATGAGTCTGATAGTAGTTCCGAGGAGGAGACGAGTTCGGAGAGCGAATCTGAAGAACCGCCACCAAAGGAGACCAAAGAAATTGCAAAATCTGATATTGGTCCATTGCTCGCGCGCAGTCAATTAGCAAGGGAGAACAGCACGGAATCAACGAGGAAGACTAGCAGGGAGGAGACTGCATACACGGCACCTAGGTCAAGGTATGGATCTCAAAGAGAAGAATCGCCGGTCAGCAAATACAGCACGCGTACGAGACAACCAGCTCCAGAGGAGGAACCGCCAAAGTACGGTTACACGAGCAGATTTCTGAATAAGAGTAAGAGCACCGCTGCGGTGCAACCTGAAGAAGACGATAAATATTCGTCGTTGGATGATGAAAGCAAATACCCGACGAGTAGATCCAGGTATATGGCTTTGAAGGAGCGCAGACAGAGGTTGGCCAGGAGTAAATCAAGTCATAATTTCAATGACGATGATGACCCAGACGAACCACTCTCGCCCACATCCACTAATCCGTCCGCCTACTTGGCCTCCAAAGGCTATGGCTCCGCTTCATCAGCTATGAATGATCTTGCTAGGAGCCGATCCTCGCACGCTCTTAAATCCCGCGAGAATTCTCCGGACAGAAGTGCTGGCGCCGAAAAGGACGGCGCTGCTTTGAGCTCTTGGGCTCGCTACCTGAAGAACAAATACGGCAACAGGAGTACCGGTAAAGATAAGGATTCTGCGTCCTCTGCAGCGACACCATCTTCTGCGAGCAGTTCGGCTGCTGCCAGAAGGTTATCCTTAGGTTTACCGCTGAGATCGTCGACGGAATTGGGAAGCTCCGATGATGATTCAAAAAACATGCAAGGCTCCCCCACTACCCCTACAGCAGCTACGGCGGCGGCAGCAGCCGGTAAGTTCAAAAACAATTGTCACTTAACAACCAAACCTAATTATTTGCTTCTATTTTAGGTATCGCAGTGGCAACAGCAGGTACTACCCCTAGGAGTCAGTACTTGTTGAAAGGCCAGAAGCTGTTTGAGATAGGGAGTCGGGGGAGCGAAGCCGGATGTTTCACGTGGCCTCGCGGCGTTGCCGTGGGGCCCGACAACCACATAGTTGTCGCGGACTCTTCCAACCACAGAGTCCAAGTCTTCGATGCTAGCGGTAAATTCCTGAAGGAATTCGGAACTTACGGAAACGGCGAAGGGGAGTTCGATTGTTTGGCAGGAGTTGCCGTAAATAGAATAGGACAATTCATCATTGCCGATAGGTACAACCACAGGATACAAGTATGAACTTTCGGAAACATCGAATTCGGCAGTTCCCTAATCAATATATTCGTAGGTTTTCGATCCATCCGGACGTTTCCTGAGGGCTTTCGGAAGCCAAGGATCATCGGACGGACGATTCAATTATCCTTGGGGAATCACAACAGACGCCCTCGGTTTCATTTACGTCTGCGATAAAGAAAATCACAGAGTACAGGTAACTTTTCAATTGCAATTTTATTTTATAACGCACTTATACTGGTCCAAATTGGTGTATATCTATAACCAATTCGGTCATTCCTCAAGTGCGAAAGCAACTCTAGATATTACTTAACGTGGACTCTGTACTATAAGAACCCATGTACGCTTATCTGGTACAAACAAATACTTCCATCTTATACAATAAACATATAACAAAATATATATAAAAAAATAGGTTTTCCAATCGGATGGAACTTTCGTTGGGAAATTCGGATCCATGGGCAACAAGCAAGGGCAGCTCGAGCATCCTCATTACATCGCCGTATCCAACACGAATCGCGTTGTAGTCTCAGACTGCAATAACCACAGGATACAAATCTTTGATGTCAATGGTAGAGTCATATCCGCTTTCGGTTCAGAAGGATCGGCCGAAGGACAATTCAAATTCCCAAGGTAAAATTTCTATAACACACACACATTTACAATAACATTCTTAACAAAATTCAAAGACTACTTTACTTACTCATTAAAAATTTTAAGTTTATGTAGTTATAATAGAGTCTAAAACAAATGTATGATATTATTATAGCTGTTATTAATTAAGTAATCTGAAAGATCAATACAAAGACATTTTGTGATTTTTATATAATTTTCTAGGGGAGTCGCCGTTGATGATCAAGGTTACATCTGCGTTGCGGACTCTGGTAACAACCGTATCCAAATCTTCCATCCGGACGGTACTTTCCTGAAGTCGTTCGGTTCATGGGGCGTTAGGGACGGAGAGTTCAAGGGTCTCGAAGGTGTAGCAATTTCGTCCAATGGTCACATTTTGGTTTGCGATCGTGAGAATCACCGAATTCAAGTCTTCTAAGGTGATCGAAACTGAAAAAGAAGGATAACACTCTTGGAGGAGAGAGGGAAAACGAAACCATAACCACAATAACTCATCGAAACTTAACTTAAAATTAATCCTCAGAACCTCAACTAAGTTTTTACTATGATTACCATTATCTGCGTGTGTTATAATTTTAACCAAAGAGAATAAAGTTTATTTGCATTTCTGTTAATATGTGTTGTAGTTATTTGGGTGAATGGTGAAGGGGATTGAAGAAAAAAATGGGGTTTTTTTAGGTAATAATTCATTTATTTAGGCAGTGTATATCGTCATAAACACTATATTTACATCCATCTGTCCTCCTCATTAATTCTTATATATCCCAATAAAATAAACAATACGAATAATCAAGGAAATCACAAACAAAATAAAATGAAGACACGGTGAAACGGAACACGTGAAACCATGATTATCTCAATAAACACGAACACAATAAAACGTAGGGAATGATTGAAACGTATCTTGATTCCTCTTTACATTGTTCCACTTCCATTTTCATATATATATATAAATATGTATATATGTACCCATGCATATATAACATATTTTTGTTATTTCTTTTTAATGTATATATTTATGTATATATATACTTTATAATATTCAACACAAAAACCGTGGCTGCGTTCCGAATCCACGCACAGCGGCGTATGATCGAAGAGATATTGCGATGTCGTTCTTCAGGTTAACTAACATATAAACACTTCCGAGGAAAAAGCGCGACGACGACCGGTGAAGGTGGGTGTGGGAGTTTGGGAAACGCGGCCGCGGTTCCTAACAAATAATACAACAGTGAGCAAATATTTTGTATAATCCTCCGTTATTATTTTTCTTTTCCTCTTCTTCACATTTTTTTTCTTCACCTCATTTAATACCATGTTTTATACATCCTTCATCATTTCAATAATCAACGAAATAACAATATCATCTTTATTTATTTCTTTTATATTTACTCTTACGTGGTTTTGTCGCCCTCACAGAAAAAAACTCGTGCAGAAATTAAACCGATACAAGTGCATTTTTTTAGCGAAACTTATTATACCGTCCTATTGCGAAACGATTCGAGGGAAGGGCTGCTTTTTCTTTAATATAAGTTTGTTGGTTTGGTGGGGAGTGTTTTTTTTTGTAGTGATCGGTGGTTCGTCAATTTATAATTTTCGGGGGAGGAAAAAGAAACACCAAACGACAACTCAAATAGAGCAGTAGATGCGGTACAAAGTAATAACCGAAGAAGTACATTGTACAGCGAGTACTAAGCTACGCAATCATCCATAGCTCTCTCCATTCTCATTTCAGCTCCTCTCTCTCTCTTTCTTTATATATGTTTTTTTTTTTGTTTAAATCCTTATTTCTTCCTCTCTTAGTTTTCCCGTCAACTGAAAACGATTACACCGGATCCTTAGGTTATATGGACGTAATAATTGACATTTAATTATTTAAAAACCCAACGTCTCGTGATATACATTACTCTTTATTTTATTTATTTTTTAAATTGTTTATTTCATACTTTTTTTTCCGCTTTTTTACTTATCTCTCTTTCTCCTTTAAAATTAATCCTCTTATCCCCACGCTTATTTTTATATAATAATAATATTTTATCATTTATATTCTTCCTTTAAAACGTAAAACTATGACTTTCTTCATATCTCTTTTTTTTTAATTTGATTTAAGGTAATGATATTTTTGTCTTGCCAACATGTCTATTGTATCGTTAATATTATTTCTCTTATTACGTTTTTTTTGTCTCATTTTAAATTATTTTCCATATACATTCGTTAATTATTACTTTCGTCTTTTAAATCCTCTTTATATACACACTTTCACTCTATGCCTACTGCTGCTTCGTTTTTCTTCCCGTCTTCTTCTTAACCTTTTCTTCCTCTATCTTTCGCATCCCTCGTCCATACGATCCATACGACACTTCTTTGGTTTTGGAATCCAGTTTTCTCTTGGTTAAAAATGGTGCAGACGTCTTCACACTACTATTCTGAGCATTTAGAATTACGTTCCTCTTCTTCGGCCTCAACGGCGCGGGGCTTTGAGTCAACTTTCATCATCATCTTCATCACAAAGTCGCCGATTCCTAAACTATGGGATCGCTTAAGCCTAAGTTTACACGCTAAAATATTTATTTATAAAAGTTTCTATCAAATTTTAGTCAATGGAGATTACATCATCTTCTTCGTATTCATCTTCTTCTTCGCATTATCTCTCATCTCCTTTTTGGAGTCATCGTCTTTATAAAATAGCCTATCAAATCGTGATTAATTCGTTTTCTTTTTTTTATTATTAATTATTTAATATATCAAAAAGACGAACGTAATAAACAAATACGGCCCAGAATTAATATTCGACTCGACGACTTGGAAACTGCAGCTACATTAAATTTCTTTTGCCCGCGCCCTCATTTCGACCTCATAAGATAGTACTGTACAATATTATTTTTTCATTTTAACAATAGAAATTAAAAACGAAACAGACGAACCAAGTGAAAAACGAAAACGAAAACTGGATGGAGAGCGTAATAAATATTTATATTGTTTTTTTCTGTTGCTTTCTTTCTATTTAACATATCGTTTTCGGCTTCAATGAGTCCGCTGCACGGCTTCCTGAATTTTTTGGGTGGGCGCAGCTGACCGGGCGTTGGATGTGCGCGTGGACCACTGCACCTTCAAAGCTTTGGTCTAAGAGGATCATCGTCGTCAAAGCTCCGACACGGAAAGCTCCTCGTGAAGCGGGCTCAAGAAGACCCCAGATTTATATCGTAGATAGTAGTATTAGTACCTCGATAATAATTTGAACCTAATAAATGGGAACGCTCTTTCGTCTTTTCCAGTTTTTCTCGTGACTAACTTACCGACTACAATAAAAAATCATTTCGTCGCCGAAAGATTTCGTGTATACTTTTATATAATATATTTTAAGTAATAACGCTTATTTTTCCTTCCTTCCTTCCTTCGCTTTCGCTTTAATTATTAAGTAATAACGTATTATTTTTTTGGTTGGCTATCTTGCTCTCGGCCTTTCATCGCTCAACGAAGATGTCTTCTTACGCGGTTGTTATGGTGATGATTGGTAAGACTGGAGAGCGAGTTGCCACAACTAAGGCAGAATCGGGTTTCTGTTTCGTATCTCCGAAATACTACACATCATATCATTGATCACGGCTTAAGAACAACGCGTGCACTCCTCGGGTGCACCGGGAAAAATGTCTCAACAACTATATTTATTTATTTTTTATATATATGTATATTGTATATGTTTAATATCATCCATGGTATTAAATCTCGTTTCGCTTTCCGTTGAGTTTCGGTTTTGCTCGCTTCTGGTCAGTCCGACTTAATTTAGATACACTTAACTGGGGATGCTTAGGGATGTGGGTGTTTCTTTTTTTTTGAAGGGGGTTTGCTGGGGGGTTTGGGGGATTGGGTTGTAATAGTCCGTTTGATGGGATGATGGGTTGATTCGCGGCGAGCGATGCGAGTCTACCCTGTGAGTCACTATCAGTGTTTGTATTCGGGGTAACGTTTGGGTCTGTGGATGGTGGCGTGCTCCGGATGAGGAGCGGTAACAACGGGCGGCACGGGAGCCGGAGCTCTGACGATGCTGGTGGGTTCCTCACTGGTGGAGCTGCTCGGTGATGGAAAGTATTCGCGCGGCATTTGCCCGCTGGTGCCGGCCTGTGGCACCGCGTCGTCGCTAGCCCAGCGGGCTAGTTGCTGTTGAGCTTGAATAAATTCATCACTAGAAAATAAGAACGCATAACAAACTATACCGGATTCGCAGGTTGTCATCTGGAACCTGATGGTTTACCTCTCGCTGTCCGGCGTTTCGCCGCAAGGTGCGCCCCTCTCGTGGTCCGCACTCTCGTAGATGCTCTCCTCCTCGGCCTGGTGATGAGGATGGGGATGCGGGTGAGGATACGGAAGACGTCCAGTCGGTTGTCTGTATCGGCCGTACACGAAGCGGCTGTCCCGGTGCGATTGGTGAGAACTCTCGCTGCATGCCGACGATGATTCTTGACGGTAGTGACGATCCGCCTCCGTCTCGGACATCCGGATATCCTCGGAACCGCTGGGGCTCATGTGACGGGTGTGATGTTCGAGTTGTCTGATCAGGTCCTCCAGGTTTCGTATACGGATCGGACCGTGCGGTGGCACCTCGTCCTCTTCCTCCTCCTCAGCCTCCACGACAACCTGCACAAGCATCTAATGAGTTTCACTTAGATAACAAGCGTAGATAGCATCGATATTTTAACACATTTTATGAAGAAGATCAATAATATCTGTCGATTCTTCAATAAAGAGAATAACCTTACTTATACAGATGCAATATAATGTTGATGTGATGTAGCATTACTAATATTAATTAGTATGCCTGGCATAACTCTTATAGTAAGGAAATTTTTTAGAATTTCATATTATTATATTTTCTACCAAACTGTCCTCGTATGTCCTACAAAAGTTTCCTTCGTTAACTTTAAACTTCAATTGCATCATTCAACTTAATAAATCGTGACTGATATGTTTATGGTATGGAATAAATTGTGGTATTAATTTAAATGACATATGATATTTATTATTTTAAACTAAATTATCGTAAGGAAAGAGATGTTTGTCCTTGAACATATACTTTCCAACTTCTAAATCTGGAGTTCTTAGCTGTAACTTAATGAAGAATAATCGATCTATAAACATTGAATTGTTAAAATAATGTCTAAAGTTAAAAAAAATAGAATCTGCTGACTTAAAAATTTCCAATTATTATATTTATGAAAAAAAAAACTTTTGTGAATATGGTTTATCTGATATATTAGTATGGCATTACTTAATCGATCAACATAAAATTGGAAGCAATTATTACATACTTTGCCACGTCCACAACTAAATATAGGCAGCTGCCTGTACGCTTATATTAGAAATGATTCAAATTCTAGATTTGGTATACAAAAGCTCAAATACATATGACTATGTACATACCGTACAAACTGTATGTAAAGTTAACTTGGAATTGAAAAAAGAATACCTGTTGTTCGCAGACATTCTCTTTGCTGCCGCTCGTTTTATACTCGGGATAGCCTACAGCGCACTCTTGCAAACTCCTTCTGAGGACTTCCTCACTGAGAGCAGTGGTGCTTCCTGATGGAGTAGCGGTACCGCGATGCGTTGCGGCATTCCTTAAGGCTTTGATGATGTCTTCGTGGTACCCGTTGAGACTCTTCAGCGTTCTCTCCACCTGTGACATGCTAGTACCTCCGACAAGCTGCGCCATGCTTGCATCGGTGCTGCACATAATGTTATCCTGGGAACCATCCGCCCAACCGTCTTTAACATCGACGCCGACCAAACCGTAGTCGTGTTTCTTCAGGATACCCTTCTTCTCCGGAAGTTTGAGGTTATTGTGTTGCAGATCGATGAAGGACACGGTCTCCTCTTCACCTGCGATACCAAAACAAAAACATACAACTCCTTCCAAAGAGCACAGAAATTCACTACCTGAATGCGTTGGATCGTCCTCGCTCCCAGATCCACCTACACCAATCCTCTTCAGCTGCTGCATCTTGTGATCCCTGCAATCAATAACACGGAAAGAAAGAAGAAGCCACTTCTCAGCACCCGAAACACTTTATGCAAACCACACATGAGATGTCATGCTTCCATGCCAAAACCAAAGGAAAGATGCAGAGAGATAGATCTAAATGAAACGAAACTAGAAGAGCGACTTTCGTTTGGTTCGACAAAGACACACAGAGTAAAACACAGATAGAGAAGATGTACATAGTGAAGTAGTAGAGACAGAAGTGGAAGGAAAGAAAAAATATATTAAGAGAGTGAAATAAATAAAGCGGAAAAGGGATTCGTAGAGATTCAACACTGCGGACACGTAATTAAATAAAGAAATAAATCCACGGATATAAAGTGCAACATTAACGTGAGTACACACAACGATAATTAAAGGAAACGAAAGTAATATATGTATTACAACAGCAATAAAACACTGATAAAATGAAACAAACAAACGAAAAAAAAAATAATAAAAAAACGGAATGTAAACTAACTGGAAATTCGATGGTCCACTGGATCCCATGTGGTTCGAAGATCTGTACAAAACGCGCTGCGAATCGGTGCGACTGGTAAAAACAAGAAGAAAAAATATACGAAAGGCATCATAAATCGTTGGTTACTAAAAATAAGTATTTATTTATATATGAAAAAAAAAACGAATTGTATAAATGTCCTTTAAATAATAATATTAAGGGATTTTTTATATAATATTAGTTTGGAAGATATTTAAATTGAAAATAGGAAGTAGGATTTAACTAAGATTGGTAGATTTTTATTAATCTATGTTAATTTAATTAATACCGAAAGCTTCGCTCTAAGAGAGATTAATTCATAAAAGAATATATGGGTTTAATGATACGAAATAAAAAACTAAAGCATTAACTGTTAGTTAATCGATTAATTAAATAAATGGGAGCATTCATACCAATCTAAATGCTTTCACTCTGATTATAAAATCGATTTTTTTTTGTGTATTGAACGATTGAATTAGTTAGTTGATAATGGCATGGTTTTTAGTCTGTTCAGTATTTGAAGACAAAGTGTTGAAACAATAGTAAAATGTTTAATATAAAAAAAAAGAAAAGAATAGGTTTGAATATAGGAGTTACTTACCCGTAGGCAGGTACAGGGCCGAAGGACATGATCTTGTCAGCGTTATTAAGCGTGTCCTCTTGGGAAGCAGAATGATTTCCGGACGTGAGGACGTAATTTTTCTGAGTCGGCTTTTTAACGTAAGGTTTCTGGTATTTGCGCACCGTCGTCTTCCTTCCAAGTGGCCAAATTAAAAATATAACAAACAGAAACGCAAAACGGAAACCCGCATTAATATTGATCGACCCTTCAAAAAACCACTTCCACAATAACAACAAAAAGAAAATAACAAAAAACAGAAAAATGAAAGATTGAAATCAAGAAGAAAAATAAAATAAAACAAATTTTGTTTAAAAACAAATTATAGTTTTGTGTAGTAAACGTAACCAATTCGAATTTAATGTTCAATTTGGTGGATTCTAATTTGATGTTCAATTTCAAAGTGGTCACGTTCGATTGAAGCGATTGTATAAAATTCAAATTGATTGTAACTTAAAAATTCAATAAAAATAGAAACATGCTTCGAGTAAACCTTCTTCGTGTTCGATTTTGTGATTAATCAAAATTTGTGTATAAACATTTGAAATCCTGTCCTCGTTTCTTCCTCATATTAATTATCATGATCATCCTCATCATTTAAAATAACTATAATTCAGAGTCCATTAAAATGCCATCATCAAATTTATGTGTTTATTTTTGGTAACGAATCTTCTTGTAGACTTCTTGTTCTTGTAAAAAAGAGTATTAGTGTGATGTGTTGTTTTATATGAGTATGTCTTGAATCAAAGCAGATTGCTAAAGGTGTAGAAGTACTTTGTTTAGTGTTTAGAGCAGCGTTTCTTAACCTTTTTGCAACGCGACCCAACATATTTGCTTGTGGTTTTAATTAATCCTAACAGTTCCTCGGTTTCACACAAGCTGACAGCTGTCATTTCACGTTTGTAATTGTACTAATAGTTGTGCTAAGAGTATTTCAGTAGTTTATCACTTTGTTACAGGGTGACAGCTGTCATTTCGCGATCCATTAAAAAAAATAACGCGGCCGATAGGTTGAGAAACGCTGGTGTAGAGTATCCAAACCAAAGAACAGAAATATAAAGTTTCAAAAAGAAATAATTATAGGGACAGATATAAATAGAAAGATAGATAGAAAGATAGATAAAACAAATAATAAGAAGTTTTTTTCGAAATAAAATATATACATGTAGGGGGAAGTTTTTGATTTGTACTTTCTTTCTTTTTTTATCACTTTTTTTTCATTTCATCTGGGGGCGCATACATTCTGCACGCATTCAAAACATAGCAACTAATAGAGAAAGATTGTAGAGAGAATAGCTTAATACACCGAAACATGCTGATACGAATCATGCTTTCATGTATTATATATATAGTTATATAGATATAGGGTAGATGTTTTAAATAAAAATATAATTAAAAAAATTATAATAACAATAATATAAAAACACATATAAAGTTCAGTTTGGTCTAAAAATCTCGCTCGCCTTTAATTAGAAACGTAAGCTTTGCTCTAAACGCGTTCTTAAAAGCCTTCTAAACTCTTCGAGACTGATAAGAAAACATACACAGCGATCTTAAATAACACCTCAGTCCAATACAACGAATGTTTGTGTTAACATTGCAATGTATATTAAAGAAAATCATCATTACTGGATTGATCATTCAAATTGATCGCAAAATTTCTAAACCAACTGGCTGTATGGGACCGTGCACTATTTAGGCACGTGCTGATTGCACGGATTACAATTAATCAACTTATGATTTAATTAATGAAAAGATTACCGTAAAATCTCATATATATTACATTACGCATAATTTTTAAAATCCATTAGTTCATATTGAGTGTGTATTATAATCGATGTGTATAAATTAAAAGGAAATGACTTAACGTCTCGTGTATAATACGCACATTTTTTATTGTTTATACCCCAAAAAAAGACAAACTACTTAAAATCTTATTATAAATCACACAATTTATACTTATGTTAATTGAGATTAATAGTAATTTAGTACAGTTTGTTTTTTTTATATTTTCCATTCAATTTAAAATTAATTGAAAAGTTGACATTTTTATTTATCTTTTTAACAAATATTTAATTTAATTTAAAAATAAATTGAAAATTATTATTATTAATATTAAGAGAATAAGCCGTTAACAAAAATTACGTAAAATTTAGTATAAATAGAAAAAATATGAGTGAGTATTATATACAAATTTTTGATATTTGTCATTTTCCTTTATTTTTTCATGTTAACATATGCAATATATAGAAACGTTTTGATTTTTTTTCTTTTATTTACAAGTAAATTTAATAGCAAATGTAGCAGTTGTTAAAAAATATTTCATGGAATTTGAAAATAAAATGATAAATTATGGGTGCGTATTATATACGAATTTTTGATATTTATCAATTTCCTTTATTTTTGAAGATATATTTCGTATTGTTGACATATATTTTATGCAATTTGAAATGAATTGAAAAAAATATAAGTACGTATTATATAGAAATGTTTTGATATTTGACATATTTTTTTTCCTTTTATTTATAAGTAAATTTAATAGCAAATGTATCAATTTTTAACAAATATTTCATGGAATTTGAAAATAATCTGAAAAAATGTGGGTGCGTATTTTATACGAATTTTTGATTTTAAACATTAACGTTTCATTTCGTAAATAATGAAAGCTTCAGTTGTTAACAAATGTTTTGTTCAATTTTAAAGTAATTGGAAAATTATAACACGTACCTTATATACGAATTTTTAATATTTGTCACTTTGGTTTATTTTTATTAATAGTAATGATTTGACAAATAATTTATGCAATTAAAAATATTATGAAAAGTTATGAGTGAATTATATACGATTTTTTTATTTTAAACATTAACGTTTCATTTCGTAACAACTCAATTAACAAATGTTTTGTGCAATTTTAAAGTAATTGAAAAATTATGAGTACGTATTATATACGAATCTTTGATATTCAACATTTACGTTTCCTTTTGTTCATAAAATTTTCAGTTGTTAACATATGTTTTGTGCATTTTAAAATGAATCACATTACCTTTTAACGAATTTTGTATTTCACTAAAAGAAATGGCTTTAAATCAAACGAGCGCATTGTGCAAGGTTGCGTATTATATTCGAAATTTTACGGTAATCAACTTAGCATCTAATGGATGATCGTTTCAAATTGTAACTCTGTACAGCCCGACGTGCATTGCGGCTAGGTTTTGGAGATGAACAGCGCAAATGGAGACGGACCTTACATTCTTATACACTCAACCATCAACAAATGAAGAAATAAAAAGTAAGGACTAAGGAATGGGTATTTTCATCGTAACCGGAGATCGTTAGACCTCGGGTCAAATGGTAGCTCTTAATCGATGGAAATACGTTGGTGCTTTGTCTTTCAGAAATACCGTCGACGGTTAGAAGCAGAATACTCGCCATCGTCACTTCCACTCACTTTTCTCCCTTCTTCTCACCCCTGCGTCTTTCAGCTTAGCGCGATCGCATTTAATTGCAGAGCACTTCGCAAATTAATTGCATCTTTTAATTTGCACAATGATCCTTTTCCTCCTTCTGCACTGCACGTTCCGGCAGTATCAAGGATTACGACGGCTACAAAAGATCCATTTCATTTCGAGAAAATTGAATGCAACTATTTGAAAACTTATGCACTGAAGTTCTTGTTTCCTTGAAGGGTTATAGTAATTTGCCGTAATTACGTTCAGAGTTTATCGTAAAGACACAGAGGGAGAACGAGTGAACAGAAAGGGTATATTTTTTTCCTCTTCAAAAAGCATATACTTCAATTGGAATTAAAATGGAATTAAAATGACCTTTAATGTAATGAATTTCATTGGGGAAACGAAACTTTTGGGGAAGAAAAAACGAGGAGGATTCTTCTTGCTGCAAGTAAACACACAACCAAACAGAAATATGAAATATTTTGAACACAAAATATTAGTAAATTTCAGTTATAAATAATTAAAATATGTCTTCATTCTCAATCATAAATTACAAATTATTACGTTTCGTTCATTTCTAATTTTTGTATTTGTTAAAATCTTTTATAAAATATATAGTTCTAAACTGTTGTAATAAACTATCGAGCATTAAATATGTTTTACTATAAATTACCGAATTGAATTATTACACAAACTATCAAGGAAGATGTAAATGCTGCCTGAACGTTCCGGTTAGTTTAATTCCTATTGAGGCAAAGGGACACATAATATTCATTATTCATAACGTACACAATTTATGCTTCTGCCACAACGGCCGTGTTTACAATGTTTCTATCAACCTCAAAGTACGCATAATCAGTGAGTCGAAACCCATTACGTCAATATATAAACCAAATACGACAACGATCGCACATTGACCCTCAATATTTCGAGGATCATTACACCAATATAACACATTTACATTTTAAACTTTAGACTTCAATTGATCTTATGTCAAAAGGTCTTCATTAATTTTTTTTAAGCATTTTCATTGACATTTTTTATTTCTAACTCGGTTTATTAATAATTAATTAGTTTAATTATTTTTTAATTAAAAAAGCATAAAATTGATGTGAATCTAGTATTAAAAAAGACCATCGTTATTGGAATTTAAAAATACAATTTTTTGTTGAAAATATTATGAAAAATTGAATCGCATTTTTATATTTTCAAATTTATTTCAAAATGAAGACTTATAATAATATTTGTGTTCAAAATTATTAAAAAAAAATAAATTTTATGAAATTTTGCGAAGATACAAAATGTATTAACATTTACATTCTAATCATTGAAATTCAATAGATTTTTTAATGTTAATAGGTTTCAATTAACTTTTTGATAAGTTTAATTAAAAAAAAAAATAAATGTACTTCAAATTTGTGAATTGTGTTCAAAATATTCCAAGAAATATGAAATATTTTTAATACTAAACATTGCTGTTACGTGAAATTGCAGTGCATCTGAAGAAATAAATTTCACTTTATTCAATTTTTCAATAATCATTTAAAATAGTGAAGATAAATTTTTTCAAATGGTTGTTAATTAAAGTGCTGTTATTTGTTCATGTTCCATTAGAACTCGCTCCTTTTCGTAAGGAGTTTGAGTGGAAAGAAGAGAAATAAAGGAGGAAAAAGGAAGAACAAACGAGTGAGTGTGTGTGAGAAAGAGTGAGAAGAAAATAGATTTTAAGAGGATTGCCGAGCGAAATTAAGTGTGCCATAAATTGAATTTGGTGAAGCGATAAATTCTCTCTCGGACCAAGAGCGAAAACGAAATGAAAAAAATACATACACAAAATTAAATTAAAAAAAAAACGTGAAAAAGAAGAGAAAAAAAAACAATAGTTTGTAATTGAAATTCTGTGAGTGATGTGTACCACGTTGAGTGGTTTTGTTAATTATTTGTTTTTATATATATATTGAGTGATCTGCTTCTAAAATGCGTGTTTTTCGGATTGATATGATCTGAATTATTTTATTATTAAGATGGAGTGCATAAGAAAGAAGTCGTGGGCTACGGACATCTAGCGAGAGCAACTGAGGAATAAATGTTCAATGTTTTTTTTTTTTACATAATTTGTTTTGTTAACTTTAACTGTTGCCGTTGCCAACGTCGATTGATTTATTGATTGTTTTCTTTTGGGATGAATGTACAAACAAAATGAACGCAGAAGAAGCTAGCGGATGCTGAATATGTGGATCTCTACCTGGACGGTCTGCTCACTAACCTGAGGCAGAGCGAGAAGTTTTTGTGTACTACGACTGACCTGTAGCATAGAGCCATAGTTGCAAACACAATGAACACACCCCCTACCACCGACATGAGTGTACCCACGAGAAAAACCGTGTTCGAGCCGTGATAGGACTCTGCAGAATCCAACGCAGGCAGACCACAGGTCCAGTTGAGGAGTGTATGTGGGATGTCGTCGACATCGACATCATCATCAGCATGCATCAACCAACACACAGGCGAAGAGAAAGAAGGAAAAGCACGTATGAGACAAATATTCGATAATAACAACAAATAAATCATAACAGTAATAATAATAATAAAATGCATTAACTTTCAAATACGGTGATCGTCAAAAGAAATTAATGTAAATCAAACGTTCTGGTATAGTAATAATAATAATATACAACAAGACAACAACATCGAGAGTACTGTAGAAGCCTATGTACAGGACACTGCGCGCAAGCAGCCACCCGCCACTCTCATCAACCTCCCCCTTCGCTCGCTTGCTCTCTCTTTGGACCGAACACGATACCTGTAGCAAACTGCCACTACGGCAAAACAAATGAAGACTCCCTTCACGACGCCTGTCAGTATGAACACCAGCGTCAACGTACTCAAGCTGTCCTTGTCGTCGGAGCCTGCAGAACAGAACCACTCAAGCATCCGTCCAACAATATAAATCTACAAACCAGATCCTTCCGAAACGCTCGACACATCTGAACAACATACAGTCAGTTCTCGGTTAACGTACATAACGAGTACCTAATTTACTAAGCAAATTTACGTTAATAGGACAGCTAATTCCCATATAAATGCATGCATTTACCGTTCACACAAACGTACATTTTGTCGTCTAACTGTCGAATCATACTTTGAAATTTCACGTACTTTCAATTTAATTTCAGCGAATAATTTATAGATAACATTCCAATAAATTAATACATTTATGATTGTATTATACACGTGCCACTTGATTCGCACAAACGTACATAAGACTGCTGTCGAAGTCGTCAATTTTCAACTATCGAATGGTCCCAGTCTGAGAGGTGACGTATATAATGAAGACCCAAATTACTAAGCAAATGTACGTTAAAAGAAAAGCTAATATCGATATAAATTTATGCATTTACCATTTTGGTAAGTGTTTAACCATACCTCTTCATATCAATGTTCGAACAAACGCATACTTTCTAGTTGAATCATACTCGTGTACTTTCAATTTAATTTCAGATTAACTTATTTTTATTTACAGCTTTAATTGATTAATTTTTAAATAAATGAATGTATTTAGGATTTAATTATACACATGTGTCTTTTCATTCGAATAATAGTACTTAATATTGCTGTCATACCTTTACATTAGAAGTTGTGAATTTCGATAGTCAGTTATTAAACGGTCTATATATGATAATACTATTCCAAGTGAACATATGGTTAAATACAATAAGCTCTTACTTAACGTAAATAAAGAGTACTCAATTTACTAAGCAAATTTACATTAATAAGTCAACTATTCCGACGTACTTAACATTGCTGACATCATAAGTTGTAATGAGCTATCAAACGACCTAGTTAATGTTATTAAAGTTGAACACATGTGAGTAAATACGTGAACTCTCGATTAAATTACATAAATTGTACTCATTTTTCTAAATGGATGTACGTTAATTGGACGGTTAATTCCCATGTAATTATAAGCATTTAAGATTATGTTGCTTCTAAGAAATAGTATGCAGAGTACACTTTGTTTTCGGATCCTGATAGAACTGGGACTTTCCGTACTAACTGTCTACATATTTCTATAATAATGTCAGCTCATGAAATTTGATAGTCTACTCTTTATTCGCGTATATAATGGTTATCTAAATGATTACACTAATCTACAGATTTCTGCGAATTATCATGTAAATTCATGCACTTAAAAGATATCTTATGATATGATTTATGAATTACCGTATTCAGGACATTTTATATATTTCAATTTAATTTCAGCTCGACAACATATAGTCAGTTCTCGGAAAATGAACATAATGACTCAAAATACTTATGTACTTAATTAGTCTAAAAATTCCTATCTATTGCCTAGTACTCACGTGTTTCTTCATTCGCATAAACGTACTCGACGTTCTCATAAACATACACTTTGCTGTCAGGTCCTAAAATAATATGCTGAGAATTCTCGTACTCTGTTTCAATTCGACATATTTGGTCAGCTCTCGGATAACGTACGTGTTAAACATTGAATTATCATATAAATTTATACCTTAAACATAATTTTGGACAACCTGTACTCAGCTTTCAAATTGTGTTTCAAACCCGTTTTTTTGCCAGAAATAGTAGAAGCAGATAACGACATCAACATGAATTTCCCAATAATATTGTAGAAAAATGTATAATGATTAAGACTATATTTAAAACGTTAATATATTAACTATTTAACTACAGATATTCCTCGTATAACACGGTTCTTTTTTCACACAACACGATAAATATATTAAAGACTGACATTTTGTGAACTTTTTTTTCACAGTTTATTGTCAGTGAGAGCGAAAAGTGTAAGTGAAGTAAGTGAGATAATATCTTTATTTTAGAACATGAATTAAGGAATTATTAGTCCCAAATAACACGGTTACACTATAATCAATATTTTATCATCGTGTGATAAGAGGTATATCTGTATTTATTTGTTTTATAAAACCAAATTTGATCAATACATGAAAATGTCATTTAATCCAAATATATACTTTATGATTCATCAGATTCATATCATTATTTGTTCGTACATTATTTCTATTTGTAAATAATAACGTACATTAAGTGAGCGCTGACTGTACACCCAATTTTCAATGAACACTCAGAGATCAACTTGCAGTCCGCAACATTGATTAAAACAACTTAAAAATCCGCAATACAAGAACATTTTCCACAGAAAAGCTTGCACCGAATGCTTCGCATCGCATGAGTTAGTAATAAAAAAAAGGACTATAAATCGTCTTGGCAGATAGCACTGCGTTCTTGTGCCAAGAAATATTCCGTTACGCAATATGCTTTCATTCCATTCGAATTCAAATTTACGAGCAACGAATAGATACTTACTTTCTGGCAAATCCATATTCCAAGGACAATCACCCAAGATTATTTATCAGCTTAAATTACAAGCTTTAGACATTTTGTATACACAATAATATTTATAGTATTACTATGAAAATTCGTCTTATATGTTTCATATTTTTATCCTAACATATTCAAATATTCTAAAATTCTTAAAAACTATTTCCTTTTATCAAAAACCTTTGTTTACTTTAAATAATCCTTATGAAATATTCATCATTTTTAGTGAAATTCTTATTATGTAATATAGAAATGCATTTTTCTTCTATACAATACAATGTCGACTAGTATATTTATGATGTAAATCTTCTGAAGCAGATGTGCATAATTCTATTATATTTCTTGTAAAGAAAATTCACCATCATTATGTAACTTCTTAAGACGATTATTTAAAATTATAATATAATGAAATTTTCAAGTGTTTCCTTCACAATAGCTTCGAGACGATGCGACAGGATGATTACGTCCTTATATTAACATTGTTAAACGAATACGGAAAAGCGTCGAGCGATTCGGAAGGGTCACCACATCAAAAAAAACAGAAACCTATGAAAACATAAAATATATCTTAGTTCTATAAATGTACGTGTTGTTGTTTTTGGTATTACTGAAAAAGAATTCGCAAGTTTGTGTTATTATGATTAATACTTCTCTGGTATATTTTTTTGTATTATTATTTTCTTGTTTGCTTTTTTTTCACTTGCTTTTGTTAGTTTTTTTCAGTGCGTTTCTCTTTTCATTACCGCATCGCGTGGGTGGAGTGTAAAAGTGAAATTATTTAACGTACCGTAGGGGGTCTCTTTCTTTTTCATAATCTCCGCCAGGTCCTTCATCCCTTTGGTAGCCTCTGGCGGTGGGGTAGGAAGTGGTGGTGTTGCCGTCACCTGCTCTTCAATGGAACAATCCGGACCGCTCCAGCCCACTCCGCAGTAGCATTTATTCGTGTTCGTGCAGTCCTGGAACACACAGAAAAGGAAACGTCACTACACATCAAGTATTCAATAGAGATACTGATGGCAATACAGGATAACTAATTTCCTATTAATATTCTACAGTCATTACAATAATTATAACAGATGAAAAATTCAAATTGATATTTTGATATAATTAGTATTTAGACCATGGTTCTGTACAACACCGCGCATAGTACGGATAATAGATTGCGTCAATATCCCGGACTATTTGAAACCGAAATACATACAAATATAAACCGCACAAAAAGAAAGTTGACAGTATAATGAAATAAAAAAAACAATTATTTTTATTTTATTCAATAAAAAATTAGTTTCTTTTGAAAATTTCAAACCAATAGTGAATCCGGACTGATCGAAGACGCACTATGCGACGTAATACATAGTAATTTTCCTGTCTTAATGATGTGAAATAATAAATTACGTTGAAATTGGTATTTAGATCAATTGCATGTGATTTGCATATTACGCAAAGCCTCGACGCTAAGATTAGAATTAAATACGATTTGCCTATGGATATCATCTGTGTAGATGATTAGGGGGAGATACATCACGTAATAATTGGTTTAATTATGTTAAATTGAAGATTAAATATACGTTGTATAGTCAATAAATTTGATTTGATTAGCATATTTTGTAAACAACATAGGATTACAAGTAAATATCATTTGAAGTGGTTAATATCTATATTATTGTTGAAGGGGAGACTTATATATAGACTTAATGGTTAATTATGCTAAATGGATGATAAAATTGCTGTTCTACAATTGATTTTCATGTTTTGTTACTTGAAATCTAGGATTAGAAGGAAAAACAATTTAACACGGATAACATCTGATTAAATTAGAGTTATTAATATACAAACATTGGGTAAAGTATAGAATTTTGATCATTTCTATTTGATTTGCATATTATAGAACTCTGAAGGTAGGCTTAGAACATTAACACGATTTGATAACTATAACAACTATATAAGTGATTAAAGATAGAATAGATGTAATAGTTTAGGTATGTTATATAATCGATATTAAGATTTTTACATATTAATAACGTCAATTGAAAACAGTCGTAGTGATTTTTTTATAATATTTTGTAATTGCTAATATTAAAGATTAAGTAAATATTATTAAGAGGAGATATACTCTCTCGAATTAAATTAAACAATTTATAAAATGGTTACATCCTTATAACCCCACTATAGACCTTGTATAGTGCGGTTTCCATTGGTTTGAAAATTTCAACATAAACTAAAATTTAATTGACAACATTGAAATAAAATCTAAAAAAAAAATGTTTTTATGCGGTTTTAAAATCTTCCATTAGCAAGGTTATATTGGGATATTGGCAAAACTGCACTAAATAAGAACTGAAGATAAATATATTGTATTTTAATTTATGCTAAATAGAAGATAAAATATTTGTTGAATCGATATTTTAATATTTAAGTTGATAAATGAATATAATTTGAAACTTATAAATATCTATAAAAGTATCGAAAGCTGTGAAAACAAAGTTGAGAATGTTTGACCTTGGGTTGAACGGCATCATTGACCTTAACCTATTTGCATACATGAAAAGCGGCCGAAAAGTTTACAGCTCCGAAGTGGATGTTAGAAGTGTGTATGTGTGAGAGAAAGAGAAATAGGGTTTTCAGCATCAACCGTTAATGAGTATTATCGATTCCAACTATAGTTGGATAAAATTTAATCCGCCATTTCTACAAAAAAAAAACAATAGTTTTAATAGAATAGTTTCATGATGTTTTTGTGTTACACTCATTAATTAAATTTGATGAGAATATATTTTTTTAAACATTAATTTAAATGTATTGATTATATAAAAACATTCATATACAACGGACTATTGACCGCTTAAAAATTCAAGTTAATTTTATTTATTTTGTAGTGAATATATTGTTTTTTTTGCGTACGACAATTTCGTGATAACTAAAAGAAAATATTAGTTGTATATATTTTGCTCAGTTGGTGGATGTTTACGCTGCTTACGAAGATGTTGATGTATTGATTTGTCTGCAATAAACATGTACAAAATAATATATGAAATGGATGCATTTAGTTTGTCTTATTTCAAGATGTTTATATTAATTGCGTATTGGGTGCAGGTGTTTCATTTTCAATAAGCATACACGACACAACATATTTGAAATGGTTGTTGTTATTTTGTCCTCTTTGTAGGTGGTTATACTCGTTACGCAATGCGTGAAAAGATGGCTTTGAAATGGTTGCATGTAGTTGCAAGCATTTTTCTGGACGAGTAGTATTCAAACTTGTTACGTAATGCGGAGTGTGTGAATTGAGAGATGGCGTTGGAGATGGACACATACCCCGTGGCCGGAACACTCCAGATCGTTATTATTGGTGGGACATTTGGTCTGGTCGAGATGCGGGAAAATGCTAGAGCAGGTCTGATTGATGCAGATTAGATTCTCTCCGCAAGGTGTACCGTCGCGCACGAGGCCTAGATGCGGTACTTCGGTCTTGACGCCGCTTCCGGAGCTGGTGGACCTGTGAATAGACCTTCGGTATGAGATTAGTCGGATGATCGGAAGACGCGCGCTCCCGAGCGCCACGTCCATTGAGTTGGATGAGCACTACTCACTTGCATTCGTATTCGACTGTCTTGATGGAGATAGTGGTCCGCGTGTAGAGCTGGTCCAGACCTTTGACGACGGGATATCGATTCCCGAGTTGGCATTGCAGCGAGCCGCACCGCACGTTCTCCGGCGCACACTTCACGTATCTGCCGTAGGCGTCGTTACCGCAGTGACCATTGATGGAGCCCTTCGAGTTGAACTGGTCGTAACACTGAAGGTCGGCTGAGACACCTCCGTAACCCCAGATGTGCTCGCACTGGATAGCGTGCGTAGGGCAGAAACCGTTGAAGCAGTAGCCGCTGTCGCCGCCGCACGGATTCCCGTTCTTCTTGAAGACATCTGCAGGACAATCGCCGGACTCTCCGGTGCACTGCTCCGGGAGGTCGCATTCGTTCGACGAGTCCCTGCACACTACGCCCTTCTCTCTCAGCCTGCATTGCTCGCAGCACGGCCCCGACGCGCACTCCGCCTCCGAGGTCAACTTGCACGTGATGGGGTCGCAACAAGGATCCACCGTGTGGCAATCATCTATGGAACCGCAATCGCATTCCTCTCCTTCCTCAACAATACGATTCCCGCAGGTCCTGTGCACCTAATTTATACAAATAATAAAACCCTTATAATTCCCATCTAATATTCTAAACATCTGATTAAATTTGTTTCACATAAAATTTACTTTTTTGTATTTATATAAGTTTCACATTTCACATAGAAAAAACATTGTTCATTCACTTATATTTATATAAACTTTCTTGAAATATGAAACATATGAAAGTAAGTTTAAGAAACTTTATTCTTTGCTCCGTTAATACTCATATATTTTAAGAGAAAATAAACTGTTAGTCTATAATATCATACTAAAACTTATTTGGAAATGTAGCAAAGAAACATTGAAAAGTTTAAATTGTTGAAAAGATTAAAGAGGGTAATAAATAAAAGGATTTCACATGAAAATCTTTATCAATATATGCTTTTTCTTCTTCATCACCTTTCAGTGTAGGTTTATAGTAGGTTCATAATTAATTTATTACTTATAGATTATCTAGTTTATAATATAATATAAAGTTGCTTTTCATTCACTAAATGCAAGATGATTTAAATAATATTTAGTTTTTACTTTAATAATTCTTGTGAAACAATCATGGTTAAAATAAAGATTTAGTTTGAGATGGTATGTATGTCGCTTACCTCCAATTCATTTGGTTTATTGAGAAGGCAGATACCATTACCGGTCCTCAATCTATCGATGTAATCGCTTCTGCTGCACTCTGAAAATTTGTAAGGCTGCACATTGTCCAAGCCTACAATTGCCTGAGCCATAATACAGCCATGCCAATCTCTGCAGAAGCACTCCTCTCGTCCATCGTCGTGTCCCATTCCGATGTTATGGCCGATCATATGAGCCATAGTACCAGCGAGAAGATGAGGCTCGTAGGTGTTAATGTCCACGCTAATACCTACAGCCTTGGCAGTGCAAACGGTCGCTGGTACAGCCATCCCGGCCTCTCCACCTGCAAACACCTCTCCAGTCAGCAGCTGAGTGGTGTCCTTGTCGATCTTGAAGAGCTTCCTCGAAGTATAATCGTTGAAGTTCGAAAGACCCCTTCCGATATCCTGAGACCGATCGATCTGAGCTTGGTTGCCACCTTGCCAGGTCTCCACGTACACCACGGAGACGCGAGTGTTGAGCGTGCGGAAGTACAGATCGGCGATGTTGGCCACCTGGATGGCATCGTGCACCACCTCCGCTCGAGTACTCCCGTTCCTCTTCTCGAACATAGCCTTATCGATGACCATCGCCGTCTCGATGTACTTGGTGGCCTCCCTCACGTCCCTCTTCAGTCGGTCGTTTGGCTGCGGAAGGAAGCCCGAGTGAGGGTTCAATCGCCACTCCATGTTGCCAGAGTTCGCGCAGCCCTTGTTCGCCTTGGTACGAGCTTCGAAGATCACGTGTGGATGTTTCTGCTAAAAAAGAGTGAAGCTGTGCAGTCACATTGCGTTCTTATCTAGCTCTCAGAGCACATTAAGAAAAGCTTTTAATGTTTCCATCCTCCTCATTGCTTAATGGACCCGCAAAGAATAATAGTATACGCGATACAACTACTACAACCAAGCGCATTTCTACCTTAAATTCACCTACTCAAATAAAGATGGCAATTTCCCACGTTTAAAAGCTTTTGCAAATAAATTGAATTTAAATAATTACATTTATTATATCTACACTGGACTTTACAAACACATAATTGGTTATTTTGAAATCCTAAGGCAATTAAATTGAACTGATAATGTATTTTACTCTATTTCAGATCCGTTTTATACATTCGGCATAGTGCCACCAGAAACTTTGGAGCCCACAAAAAAATATTTGAACTAGAGTTGTTTTGAATATTTTTCTATTATAAAATAATTATGATACTATGAAGGTATAGTAATAGAAAATAAAATTTCATAAGCAAATGTTAAATTATACTGGACCAACAATTACTGATACGTTTAAATAATATTTATAATTAGTAGTTTGATAGATGTATCAAACTACTAATTATAAATATCAATACGTCAAATACTTAATTCCACTAAAAAGATATAATTATATTTCTACACTTAGCAGGGGCGGATTTTTATGGGCTGCAGCTTGATGTTTAATTAAAAAGGCCACCTTTGAGTTTAAAAATAAAAATAAACACAGCCAACCCAAACATAGATTAATTAAATAGGCCCCAAAACGTGTTATTCTTAAACCTCCAAATAATGATAGCCGAGAGCCCTCAATGAGTATTAGTCAAAGACAACCCAGTGTTAGCCCAGGGTCCCCAAATAATGTTAGTTCTAAATTTAAAGATTAATTAATTGAAGTAATAAAATAAACATATAATGTAATAAATTAAATCTAATTACATGCAACAATATTTCAATATATTTTTATATCTATAAATTAAAAGCTAAGGTATATGAAGTAAACTATAGATATATAAAAAAGCAATCGCTTAATAAGAAAATTATAAAAGTTTTATATATAATATATAATTTTAAATATAAAATGTGTGGTAATTGTTTTCAAATTGTGTTGTCCTTAATGTAATTAAAGTGTTATTAAGAAAATGAATATGTATTTGTAGATGTGTACAATGTGTGTACGTGTTTATGCATTTTGAAACGTTTTTAAATTGATATGTAAATTAAATGGAATCAAGGAATGAATACAATTTTGCTGCGACTTGAAGTGACAGGAAACTTAATATCTTTTTAGTTGGAGAACTCTTGGAGATTGCTTTACGTTGGAGACTTGGGAGGCTCGGAAGCCGATTTATATGAATTGTATGCAGTGTATTTGGTATAAAACCAGTGCCGGAGTAGCAATGAATCAAGGAGGCGAGTCCTAATTGCTGGCAGGACAAAAAAGGGGAATGGAAATAGTGGAATTATTATGATGATCCCATTGCCTTCAACCTCCACCTCTGTTTCATCCTCCTACTTCTACTCCACCTCCATCCAACATCATTTATTTTTCCATCCAGTGTCGGAAGGATAATAGTAGTTTAGGACATGGCTGGGCGATGTTCTCGCGATGGAATTATTCATTTTGCACCATTGCATTCCGCATCGCATTCACAGATACTTGTCATATAAGCGCGCCAGGATTAATTAAAATTAATTGGAGTAAGTTTTAATGAACACGTTCGTACAGATGTCGGCCAAAGAGCGGTGACAACTGACAGCCAATTACCCCTTGCCGCCTCCCAGCCGCTTCTGCTGCTGCTGCGGGGCTTACCGTACATCCCTTCAATTATGCCAGATCGCGCTTTCCGACCCTCTGTCCCCAAATACACCCTTTCAGCCCCTCTCTGTCGATAACATTCGATTAGGACGACGAACGCAGAGGACGTCAAAAAAATATATATATACGGAGAACATTGAATAAAAAATAAATAACATAAAGTAGACGAGGACGATTTTATTTCTACCCTGATTTCCGTTCGTTTTTTTTATATATTGTCCACTCCTCCATGGGTCAATCGCATCTAATTTTCGTATTATTGACCGAACACTTTGACCCTTTGGAATTGCAATAAAAAAAACATCCCCGATTTCCCATTGAATCTCAATTTTTATCTAACTCACAGAGCAGATTTTTTTGTATGTGCAAATATTTGAGTCAATTATTTGCGCACAGAGTATACGCACCAATAAATACAAATTGAACTCCAGAGAATTTAACTTATTCATGCGAAATTAAAATAATTTAAAATATTTCAATAATACTAATATTAGAGAAAATTATAAGGTTTGATGTGTACGTAAACACACTAAATTTTAATTAAGCAAATATTAAAATATATTAACAAACATAGTAAACACAATTACTTTGTATTCATAAATGATACATTTTGCACCTATTTAGTACCTCAATTAGTCCGGTTTCAAATAGTCAGGGATATTCACAAAATTGATTACCCGACTATAAGAGGTATCTTGTATTATACATATGTTAAAAAAAAGAAAATGATTAGAGCTTTAATGCTTTCCTTCTCCATTTACATGTGAATGTTTTAAGAATAATAATTGAAACGCCTGTTTAACGTGACGACTCTGTTTATAGTACATTGCCTGCAATATGAGATAGCCTGGAGGCGTTGAGCATTCTGCGGAATGGAACAATAAAAGGATGCTGTAATTTGTGCAGTCAGTGGTTGTAATCAGCCTCCCTCTTTTGTTCGGTGTAGAAATGAGAACGCGTTTCCAATGTTACGCAAAACCGGAAATACCTAATTACAAGAATCCTCGAATACACATTCTAAACGGAAATCACTTCGCGTAAAGCGAAAAGTAAACATTTGCATGGGAATCGAAAACGAGATGCACGTGCGTCATTTTTACGGTAGATTCGCTATATCTCCTTGGAGAGCCGTACGAAAAGCTTTCCGCATCCAAGAAACCAGATCCAGAGCTTTGATTTTTAGAATATTTCTACAAAACATTTCAAACGAAATCGTGCAAGACGATTCGCAAAGAAATATTCCTCGTTACAAGAAATTGCTTCAAGATATACAAAGACAGTTTACTATATTTTCGTTTTTGATATCACCGTTGCAACAGTCATGTTATAACGTATCGTATTTATTTGTGTCTAGTGTGCAATTTAAATCTTTACAAACAACGTGCTATGTTTTGTATACAGTAATATGATATATTGTCATTTATATTGTATTTTATATATACAAGAAATTTTGGTTTATTTTAATTCTCGAATTTATGTTATTTAATTATTCATTGAGAATTAGACAAACATCTGAAATAATTGTTAGATGATATTTTGTTTTCTTAATTTTAGGAATGAATAAGGATGTTTTTTAAAGTTGTATTAATTGCAAAATATCTTATTTTTATGGTAAGTTGTCATTGAAGATATATTTACTTATATTACTAATATCGTCATATTATAGATAAAATTACCATTTATCACATTTTTATGAATAAACAAAAGTTGTACTTCAATAGACATATATGTTTGTACTACAACAATCTAAAATTTAAGAAACGTTTTATACTCGCATTTGAATATGTTACATTTTTATAAATGAAGAAGAAAGTTGTACATTGCATCAATATTTGATAAAATAACTACACTCACAAATTCATGACGCGTCTTGTATACCGAATTATGAATACAGTAAAACCTGTTTTTGTGCAGTAGATAGGGATCGCATAAAAGAAACCGCACAAAAAAAAATTCGAAAATTTCATAAATAACTTTGTACAATATATTACAGACATTTTATCACCTTTTTGAATCAAAAAGAGAACTGTATATTAAGTTGATATTTGTTTATATTTCTACATTGTCAAATTGAAGATCCATCTTATATAGAGAATTACTATTAGTATCAATTTGTCGCGTTTTTATGAATGTACATGTAAGCTTTACATTGAAACTATATTTGATAAAAAAAATAAGTTCCTAAATTCTTGACTTGTCTTATATTTGAAATGATTAACACATGTTTGTGAATTAACCTAAAAGTTGTAAATTAAAGCAATATTTATTTGTACATTTTATATATTATCGATAGGGTAAATTTTAAATTAAAAATGGGTATTACATACCAAATCACAATTGTACTTACTACACAATAGAAATCGTGTACATATTAATATATATGGATGTTCTCAATATTAATGTGTATCCTATACAACGTATTACGCTATTTACTACATTATTATCAATGGAAATAGTATTTTATTGTATTACTATAGAATCAGTATTTTCAAATTTCATTTTATAAATTACGCTTTTTATTTTCAATAGCAAAATACGTATTATACAACAATTCGGAATATATAAATCTTTCGTAAAAGAGTTTGTTATTACTTGGATTATGTAGGAAATAGAAAGCGTTAAAAGTTATACTTGGGAATCAAAATATTTTATTGCTATTGACGTTTTCAAATTCATGTTGACTTTTTATTAATGAATTGAAAATTTACAAACAAAATGTATACCTTATACGTGGGCTATATAGAGAGTATAATGGTGTAAAACTGTAACTGGATATGATTCGATGGTGCAGGAAAATCTCGTTGATTAGGAACAGGCCGTCGAGGCTATTAAACGTGGATTACGTAAGTTAATTCCATCCGTCCGCGCCTCTGTGTCAATGCGAGAGACGCCACCCGGAAACTTTCCAAAGCATTAACACCCTCGCCCTCCCATTTTGCACGCGCGATAATAATAAAAAGAAAATGTAATATTAAAGTCGGGAAAAAGGGGAGCGAGAGAAATGAGTGAGAAAAAAAGAACTAGGGTTCTTTTGGGTTGGAGGGGAAGAGAAGCAGAACTTTAATAATATCCTAATTATGTAAAGCGCAAGATGGCAAGAAGGACCGCTCACTCTCTCCTTACCATTTTTACAAGATTATCCCAAGTTTTCCGCCTTTTGTTGCCAGCCACAATCCCAACTTCATTAAGTTTGCATTAAACCCATTCGGGCCTTCCTAATGCCGTGAACCTGCGCTATTCTCATCTCAATAAGCTTAATATTAAATATAATACATGTAACGAACTGAAAATAATACTGTATAATTAAGATATCTCTTCCAGCCAAATGCATCTACTTATTTGTTTATCAAAAGTATTATTTAATACAGTAACTAGTAGGACCAAATTAAGATTGTGGTGGACCCTTGTGTGGGACCAGTGTCGACATCTTAGCAACTAATTATGTAATCTTGAATTCTACTTTAACTAATTTTTGTAAGTCCAAAAAGTCTCATGTGCCCCAAAAAAACTAGTTGACTCTAAGCCTAATTATATATACATAATTTATAAGATCTGGTAATCAGATCTTCAACTAGATTTGGCATATACCTTTGTTGATTTGAGTACAGTCGTAACTTTGATAACGAAGCTTCGTTATAAGGAAGTGCGTAATTGTCAGAAAACATTGATAGTTCTCGAAAAGAAGTTACTAACAAACGCCTAAATGAAGTTTGGCTTAAAATGTGTACAGAAGTTGTACTAGAAGAAAAAAATAACATACAAGATGCTAATAATCTCAACCTGCCTCCCGTCATCTACTTAATTGGTGTTTATTGGTGCGGCCCTGAGAAAACTTTAAAATCTTTTTTTTGTAGTAAAGATGAAAAAGTGTTAAGCGATCAATGTTTACAAAAAGTTGTCGTGCGCTCTAGGTATCAGTTAAGTATATGATGACGGGTGGAATGGGGTTGATTGTGTTCGAGTGGAACTTCACAACATATATATATATATTTTTGACTTTTTATTCAACTATTTCTTGTGGGACCCAAAAACTTCGCACTTATAGGTCAGTGCCTAGAGTACGTACTGAATAAAAAAGAAATTCTTCTTTAGGCAATTGATAAATGAAAGAAATAAAGCAGAAACAATCAACAATTTACACTCATATTTTATAACGAAATTTTACTTTATATGTAAATTGACTGTTGATTTAATAAATCTTTTCTTTCTTCAAAAAAAAATAAGATTTTTATTTTCTTTTCGTATTCTGGCTATCATAGTTTTACCTTTGATAATGAAGTTCGTGGAACGCATTCTATTCGTTAAACGAGGTATGACTGTATTAAATAAAGCAGAAATGCTTATTGATTGGTATCCATCATCTTTGTATTGTATGTTTTGTAAATATAATTAATCCAACTCAAATCAAATATATTCAATATTTCATAAATGTACAATGTAGCAAAATTATATAAATCAGCAACACTTGAAGATTGATTATCCATCATCCTTGAATTGAGTTTCTTTTTATTATTATTATCAAACGCAAACATCGTATTCTTTCGAATTCGTTGAGAGGCATGATAAGTATTGGAAACCTTTCAGAAGAGGTGCGAAATTTAGTTTGTTATTTTTCAGCCGCGAACGTTTTCTGAAGTACAGGTGTTTCCTTTATTTTATTCATCGCTTTGAGGTCTCTCGCAAACGCAATGGAAATCCAGTTAAAAAGAAATTGCGAAGGTGCAAAAAGGAAATATTTCTGTCAATGAAATAAAATGCTTTTATGCTGGTGACGTTCGCTTTTATAACGCCTGTACTTTACACAGGTCTGGAGTGTAAATGCCACTTTATTTTCTCTCTTTCTCTTTGTGTATTTTTATATATACATAGATGAAATAGAAATAGAGAAAAAACTTCAATAAGCTCATTGTTCGTGGCAGAGAGGAAAACAGTAAATATATATATATAAAAAACGTTTTTTAATTGTGTAAAGTTGTGCCCCATTTCTTCCCCTTTTAAATATGTAATTTCGCTTTTTCGCTGCAGGCGTTTCAATGTTGGTGTTACAACAATCGTTTGACATGGCTGTTAATTAGTTTTATGCGATGGTAGCTGGTTTAACAAAAAAATGCAGGGAAATGGATGAATTTGTCCATCGTATATATTTACTTATATACAGAGTGTTCATTTTATGTAACTATTCGTTACATATACGTAAGTTAGGAGAATATTAGAATTCCTGTAAGCTGAAATGTTTTTATTTAAGTGGCGTTTTTTTAAGTCTTGACTGTTTAAATGCAAAAACTGATTTATTATTGAAATGTTCTTTGATTCATTTTAATTTAGTTCAATTAAACATTAGTTTTTAAATTTTCGCAATAATGAATTCGGATTGATCGAAGCCGAACTACACGAGATATTATTATATTGAGATGATTTCAGAACCATCTATATATGCTTTGAGGTAGTGGACACCATAAAGTCAATGATTTTTCAAGGTCATCAGATATTTTTAGTAGTATCACAACAACACAAATAATCAGTTATATTTACACATTTCGGTTAAGACAAGCATATATTTCAAGTTTTATTTAAGCTATTAAAATGTTCATATAAAGCTATGGTGACTTTAGAATTTCTTGTAAATTTATATTTAATCATAGTTAGGGTATGGAAATTTGGATTTCTAATTGTAGCTTATGCAAATTTGGTATAGAAATTATGTAATATCGTTGTAAAACAGGATTATCTTTGACAACAAGATTAAAATTTTGAATATAATATAATTTGAATTTATATCATAATTTATGCACTTTGTTGTTGTTGTAATAGTGTCTTTTATTGGTAATTATAGGAAAAATAGGAAGAAATTGATAAAGTCATTAGAGAGTATTTTGTAATTGTACAAAATAGGAACAAAACATAGTACAATAAACGAATCATCGCAAAGTGCTGGTTTAGAAACAAATTCAATTTTAATTGAGCAAAACTAATGCATTCTTGATAACTTTTAATTGGAGAAAAATATGATCCTTCACTTTATACTTGTATTTGAGTATACAAAATATTAAATTCTTCTGTAATTATTTTATGAAATTGTAAAACTATAATATCTTTAGCATTCTTTCATAATTTTTGATTTCATAGAGAAACTGAAGAGAAATATTTGCAGATGTAATATCCTCCATTTTTTTGATACCCAACTTGCCGCTTTTTATAACCAAATAATTATAAAAAGACATGTTGGGTATAAAATATGTTTTTCTCAATGCATTAAGTTACTTTATGAAATTATAAGAGCTATTGAGATATTTGGGAAATGATCAACGTTAAATGAACTACTCTGTATATATTATATGAGAGGGTTTGTATATGCATGTGAGTGAGTGTATATGTGTGTGTGTGTGTAGAGCCAACAAACATCCCCGTGATTTAGTATTAATGGTGTTTCAGCATGGTAATGGAGTTTAAATTAAAATCAATATGTGAACTCCAAATGAGTTACTGACCGAAAGATCGCCCCCATAGAAGGGATGTATGACGAAGGTTTCGTTGCCAACGTGGATGACCCCGCTGACGCCGTTGCACGTGTGGAAGGCCGCCGTCGCCCCGGGATAGTCCTGTACAGTACCATGGTAATAGCAGTGCTCGATTTCCTGAAAACACACAAACCAAACACAATTTTCATTTCCTCTTAACTTTTTTATTTCCTCTTCTGAAACTCTTCATACATATACAACAATAATAACAAAAACAGCAACATCAAAAACAAAATTCGTAGAATCAGGAAATATACACAAACTCGAAATGAGTTTAGAAGAATGGATACGGATGTAAGGATGGTCCTGGGGTCCTGGCGTTGGGAGCGGCGCGCAATTTAATTTAATTATTTATGAACAAGGATAGAATTAAGAGGGACGAGGAAACGCGCCTCTGCACTATTTAATTCCTGAATTAAACTCGACTAAATCCTAGGATTTGATTAACATTAATTATACCAATTAAATCTGAAATGTATGCCTGGATTGAATGGAATTGTTAATGCTCTTGCTCGGCAATCCTACATGAATGCATTTACACATCTAAGCTCTTGGAAATACAATCGCTTTAAATTAAACGTTCTTTAAATATCTTAAATATTATTATAAATCAAAATCACTTCATCGAAAATTTTAACATTAAATTTCAGTTACTACAATTTAAAAAAAATACAGTACAAACGTAACAGTCACTTAACTCTACTGTCATTTCAGTTTTAATATAAACTGTCCTTAAGATTTTTTTTAATTTTAATATTTAAAAATTCACAAAAATGTAACTGTTAATTCAGTTTTACTGTTGACTGTGTATTTTCTTTCAATATCTCATTTGACATTGCACTACCAATGCAACTATCACTTAAGTTTCAATATCAACTGTCCTGAAGTTTTTTATTTTAATTATAATTGAAATTTACACCAACAATGCAACTATCAATTGTTTTAATGTCAACTGTCCTTTGACATTTTCTTTCAATTTCTCATTTAAAATTACACTACCATAGCATCTGCCACTTAAGTATCAATAACAAATGTCCTGAATTTTTTTTAAAGGCAACTGTCATTTGACATTTTCTTTCATTTTTATTATTTAAAATAACCTTACCAATGCAACTTATTTTTGTTTTTATTTTTAACATTAAAAATGCTTCAATTTTTTATTTAAAATTTCACTACTGTAACTTCAGTTTCAATATCAATTGTCCTTAAATTTTTAATTTTATTTTTACATTAAAAACTATAACAAAAATGAAACTGTCAATTCAGTTATAGTGTCAACTGACATTTTCTTTCAATTTTTCATATAAAACATTGAATGAATACATTTTTGCTACTTGTCATTTCGAACTTAAAAATTGTGCTAAAGTATCGCGTATAAATCAAAATCCCTCTAAATTAACATTGAAAGAAGTACACATTATTTTTGCAAGTCTGCAGAATTAACTTCTCGTATAAACGTGACCATGTTTATATACGTTTATTTTCCTCAGTTTTTAAAAAAACATGTCGAGGGTGGAGCGTAATTAGATTTTTAGCTGAGATTGAATGGAATTGTTAATGTTTTTTTTATATACGCTCGGACTCTGTGCGTATTTTTTTCTACTCTCACTCTTTCTTCTTTTTTTTTGCTCGTTGTATAATGTCTGCATTCAGAAATGTGATTTGATTTGTTGGCCCCTGGAGGGACGGCCGATTAAAACGTCCATGAATTTTCATGAAACGAGGGAAAAAACCTGAAAAAAATACCGCACATGCAAACAGGGGATGGAAATATATGTGTATAAAAAAGTACGAGAAGAATGTGTGTAACAATCGTGTAAAGCGTAATTTCATGGAGACGTTATCGTTCACGCCCGTATATAAAAGTCGGCGTGAAAAATTACCACTGAAAATTTGTACAACTTTAACGAAGATAACGGACTAAATCATTCGCATGTCTCTAACTTCTTCTTAACTTTATTCTTTAAGTTTGGATCATCGTAAATTATTAAGAATTTTTATAGTCCGTGCTATTCAGCACTCAGCAACATTATTTATTGAATTGATCTAAACTTGATTTTTAGGTCGTATTTAAAATTATTACTAGTGTAGTTTTTTAATGTTAAAATAAAAAAAAATCTTAAAGAACTTGATATTTAAACTAAAGTGACAGTTACATTCATAATTTAATTAATGACAAAGTGTCATTCAAACTGAGCTGAAATTTGCATATTTGCTGTAATTCATAATGTCATAAATAAAAAAGGACTTAACTCTTTGATGGGCCAGAAATTCCTAAATTTCTAGACAACTGAATCAGACAACTTCGTCAACTGTACCAATATCGGATGTTATGGACTATGAAAATTCATCCCTTGACATGCCAACCAAATTAAAGGATAATTGAGTATGTTCAACCAGCTAAAGAATAGTTTACATTGAAGTAACAGTAGCATTTTTGGTATAATTGTTAATGTAAAAATTACAAAAAAAGACAGTTGATATTGAAATGACAGTTAAATTTATGTAATTATTAATTAAATAAATAGTAACTGAAATGAGAGAAAAGACTGAAAAGAGAAATAGAAACGAAAACTTAAGAATAAAATTCAATTATATACATAGCTGTGTGGTAGCACCATTATGCAAATTTTTGATATAAAATTGTTTCATATAAATTAGAAAAAGCCTAATACTTTCTAAAAAAAAACTATGATAATAGTTTGAAATTGTCATTTTTGACATAAAACGTGACATGTAGCAACTTAAAAAAATGTTATTTTTAATTCCTCAACGCTATCTACTATAATTGTAAATATTTTACTAAGTTGTATATTTAACACATAATTAATCAATGTCACATAAATAAAAAGATGATTTGTACTAATAAATACATACCCTTTGGAAATTCTTAATTATTATTTGAATGATTCGAAGATTCTTTTATGGCTTTGACATTCCTTACCTACAACTGTATCAAACAATCGGCTTCTTTGATGAATCCAAATATATAACATTCATAGATCCTGGAGTTCAGTAATATGTGTATTGTATATATAAAGGTAGGAGAGATCGTCGATATTGAAATGCGAAAGCACGCATTGAGGTAAGTTTCAGTGTTTGCTAACTGAGGAAAGACCGTTTTCGTGGGGTGAAAGCCGGAATCAAAAACATTCCTCGTTACGTCGAAAGCCGATTTGGCTCCCCCCTAATTACCAAAACTTGCGTAATGAGAGAGAATTAAAATCCATTCCATCCCCTGGGAACATTATAAAACGGGGTTGCGAGGGGAGGTGGAAAAGGTGGGAGTTTCAGAATCCGAGGGTTGCAAGGCGGGAATGAGATTTTAACGATGGCAACTTGTGAGATTCTGGCCTTTGTGCGATTCCCGTTTAATTAAATTTTATATGACGACTCTACCTTTAAAACCGAAACCTACCCTCTGGAAACTGCGTTGACGAAATACCTATTTTTATTTGCATACTTTTACTTTTTTTTCTTATTTACTTTATGCTGTTTATTGTTGTTGCTGTTATTGTTACACGGTGGTTGGGAAACCGCCTCGAAATTAATTAAAATTTTCAATTTCGTCTCGAGCTTGTAAAACCTTCATAACTGTTTACCTGTTTGGAAACTTGCTCCGCTCCGTTGTTGAGGAAATGCTTTTGCATGATGTTCGGGGCGATGAGTTGCCTGCAACAAGATTGAAACTTCATTAGAAACCGCCACGTGGCTAAGCGTCTATAAATAGATCGTCTACTTGGGGAACAAAGTAAATAAATATATAAAGAAAACGTGGATGTAAGGAAGATGAGAAAGAAAATTGCGTGTGCCGAGGATCATAAAACACAATTTCGTTAGCATCGGTGCGTCATGAAATAAGTTTCTACATAAATATAGATGCAATCATTTTGGACAATCTTTATTTTTATTAGTAATTTATTTCTTTATAAAACAAATTCTTCTATACATTTAATATTTATAATAACATTAACATCCTATTCAATTGTAGTGTAATTTTGAAAGAAACATTAAAAGAAAAATCTAAACCACAATTGACATTGAAACCTGAAGTGACAGTTGAATTTCTAATATAATTTCGAATAAAACATTGAATCAAATATCTAAAAACAGTTAACACAGAAAACTGAAGTGAAAAACTTCAAATAGATGACATTAAAAATAAATTTTAAAATGAAGAACAAACTTAAGGGCAATTGATATTGAAACTGAGGTGACAGTTAAATTTGTGGAATAATTTTAATTGAAAAATTAAAAGAAAAATATAACAGACAGATGACATTGACAGTAAAGTGATAATTTTATTGTTGCTGTAAATATTAATTTTAAAATGATGAACAAACTTAAGGACAATTGATATTAAAACTTAGATGACAGTTAAATTTCTAGTGTAATTTTGAATGAAAAATTGAAGGAAAAATCTAAACGATAATTGAAATTGAAACTGCAGTGAAAATTGCATTTTTACTGTAAATTTTATTGTTAAAATCAATAAAAATTTAAGTCAGTTGATATTGAAACTGTAGTGACAGCATTTTTTTCTAATAAACATATGGATTTAAAATACAATATTTGTATGTATATAACTTGTCGAAATGAGAATATATTTGAGGAAGAAAATAAATAAATGAAACGTGGATGGGGGAGTGAGAGAAATGCGTGTGTGGGTGGGATCAGGGAACACAATTTTGTTAGTGTCAGTGGTTCATGAAATATGTAACAGTTTGCTATAGAAATATCGATGGAACGTAATGTCTCTGAGCTTCAATTTCTATGTATGATCCCGTAACCAACAATCGTTACAATACATAACACGTGTTTTTCGGTCGCCCTCGAAATCCCCGGCCTTTCCGCTCCATGCGATTTCGATTCACATTCGTTTACATATTTTTTACATTTTTTTCCTATAGATATTCCTATTCTGCATTCACCTCAACTCAAACGTACTTTCTTATTCCATAAGCAGACAGAATTAACTTATCAATTCAAATGATTTAAAAAAAAAAATTATTTTATATTGAATTATGAAACTGAATATATATTATCAAATAGTTTTATATTCATCTTATTTTTTATAATTCATGAAATATTTTTACAATTATAATTTTAATACAAAATTATGTTTGTAATTCTAAATATTTTTTATCATTACTTTCCTATCTACATCTACATTCCACATGTACCCCACACAAAAACATTTTATTATTCTATAAGTAGACATAATTAACTTATCGATTCAAATTACTTCAATGTTTGTATATTCTATTTAAAAAAAAAACAACTAAGAACAAATTTCGAGCATTTCGCTTAATGAGCAAAATTAATTGTAAGAAAACTGACTCGCTTAACGAGGTACGTTTTACATAATGAGAAGAGAAGTCCCGGATTGCGCGCCTTCTATATCATATTATGTGTATTTTTCAATATGTTTCACTATACAAGTATTTCACTATACGAGTAAAAATCCGTTAAGCGAGGTTCCACTAATATACACATTTCATATTGATTTATACATATTTGTACATTCAATGTTAAATACAAATCAATGAAAATTAGATATGCTGATATTAATTATATATTTTTTGTTATAAAATAATGGTTAATTAATTACTTTGTTAATAATTGATATAAATCGATAAAATTACTCAAATTATTATCTATTTCACTATGTTAATTATATTTCGACACAATAATCTACTTTTAAGATGAAGAATTAGTAAAAAATAGTCAAAATCCCACAGTTTCTAATATCAACATCAAACTGATTTGCTAAATATTCTGTATTAATATCAAAGAATTATCACTTTAGTTATTATTAAATGTATTTTAATTTTATTTTAACATATTTATTGCTCAAACATGATGACCAAAGTCTTTCCGCTCGGAATTAAATTATACTGTAATTAACATGCTGTATCCACACTCTGCGAAACAAGAGACATACATTAATTCCAGGTGTACCAATTGAAGTAGTAGTCATAAATTTGAAGACATCTAAATTAACGAATGCAATATATCATTCGGCACCAACTTTTATAATTGTATGTCAACTGTAAGTTTTTATCTACAATTAATGCTATTCAAAACTTAATAATTTTAGAGATTTTTCAGATTTAGTGATACTTATAGGGTGATATTGATTGTAGCCTCTTTCAGTCTTTATTATTACAATATTATCCAACAAATGATATACGACCTGCATGTATCGAATCATAGTGTGCATTTAAAAGACAGCTCGTTTCTATATGACAACCGGAAAAGTTTTTATTAGTTCAAAAAGGCAGCAGCATCTTCGATTAATACAGTTTCATTATAGTTAGGTTTGTAAATTTCAAAACAATACAAAATTTCAATTGATCAAAATATTAATAAATACTAAAAATTAGTGCACAACCTTTCTTTATTCTACATAAATTATATTTGTTTTCTTTTTTTTACAAATAAGTGACGTTTATTAAAAGTCCTTAAACAGTTACAGAACTGATTAAGCGCACTATGCGAGGTATTGTTTTTTTCTAATAGATATACTATAAATTAAGGGTCGCAGCTTGTAACAAAGTAAAGCGTACAAATTACGTTTCTTTTTTCTCTATAAAGAAAGAAACTTAGAAAAACAACGTTCCTGCAATGATGAATACGATTGCAGACGTATATGTATATAAAATAAAGTCATCTTACAGAAATAAATTAGAATGTTCGCCCGTAGGCCGTCTTCTCTGAAAGCCCTGCCAAGTCTGCTAAGTCTGCCGTTCACTTATTATTATTACAACAACGATGACGATTATCATTATTATTATGTCGAAATCTGAATTTTAATCAACATTTTGATGCGCGGCCGCCCTTCGCTTTAATATTCACACCCAGTCCCGATTTCGTGTCCCTTCACTCGGCGCCCTCATTAAAAGCAGGCCGCGCCGCAACGCTTATGCAAAACGCCAACCATCCAACACCCGAACCCTACATAACCCCGTTTTCCCCTACACATCCACAAACCCATCCTACAAACACCCACTCCTCCCCCATTGGCATACAAAACAACAGCTACAAAATATTATTAATACAACCAAGGACAAATTTTCATAAAGTTTACATTAATATTATTAATACAATTGAATAACAAGTTTTATATTTAGATGTATTTCTATTTTTTCATTCATGAAAAACCTAAATTTGTTAAAAAAATAGGGTTTATCTAATTCAAATTTTATTTCTTTTACATTTAGAACAATTTTTTTAAACTAAATACAGAAACACCTCACAGTTATATATAAAAATAATAATAATACAATTTAATAGTATATAAATGATCGGATTTTTTTTAGATGGAGCTCTAAAATATTTAACATATTATATAGAAGTATAGTGAGCGGTATTTGAGTTACCGAAATACGACACATTTAATAATAAACAGGATTTTCGTAAAAAAAATTGTTGAAAATGCAATCTAGAAAAATCTCCGTTCGCAAAGCATTAAATTAATGTAAAAATAGTAATACAATTTAATAGTACATAAATGCTCGAAGTTTGTCTTTATATAATTTTTTTTTCGGTTTATTTTTTGCGGTTTTAACTCTTTGAGGGGCGGTGGGACACGTATTGTGTCACATTTTAAACCTGCCTAGTGGGGCATTATTATAATTTCTAGAAAATGTCCAGGAAAGGAATTAATTTGATGATGCAGCAAAATATGTTTATGTTGAAACCATACCATCCGATATTGATTCAGTTTAGTAAATTGTATGATTGTCCTTCAAAGAGTTAAACAGAACGGGATATTGGTGGAACCGATTATCCGTACTATGCAAAATATTTTCTGTATTGAAATCTCTACTATGTTAATCGAAGTTGAAATTACGTTTTTTTTATGTATAAAACATAAATTATTTGATTTTTTTATTGTTATACAATGAAAATGCAAAGTACATTTCAAAATTTTCTAGTTGCAAAATAAACTCATGATTAAGTCAATCTAAAACAAGTACTTATTACTAATTTCTAATACTTATAATTTATGTTACTTACTATTATCATATGATAGAATCATGTTTTTATTAGAAAAAAGTATTTTTAATGAAAAAATATTCCTAAATTATTTCTAACTATTGGAATTGCTAATGTTCTTTGTAACACTTAATCTATTTTATCTCCAATATGATTATATAATATTATATAACATATGATTATATGTTTTGTATATGTGACTTTTATAATAAATATTATTATTGTTGTTTTATGTACATTTTTTATTGTCAATAAATTATGATTATTAGTTATATTTTTATAAGATGCCCGTATTCTTGAAAGTGCAAATATGAATACATATTTTAAAAAAATGTATCGTATTTATATAAAAATATTGAATGTTTTTCCAAGTGTAAGAGTAAAAAATCAAGACTATATCAATTTAAAATAAAATAAAAAATACAATAAAAAAACTCATAACAGGAAACTTATTTTATTGTTATATAAATTTAAATGAACAATATGTACTTGTATTGTAATTCCTTAAGCACATATATAAATATTTTACATTTAAAATCATCAAATTCAAATATCATTAAAATATTTATATATTCAGAATATCCTTTCGCATTTAAACCCCGCATAGTCCAGATAAAAGGTTCCGCCGACTATTTGAAACAGGACAAATCGAAAAATCAGTGGCAAAACTT